GATTATACTAGGTCTGATGATGATTATGATACTAGACTACCTAAGTTAAAATTGTTGTCATTATTTAATAGGAGCTTCATTAGAGATGTTACGTAATTGATGGACATTATGATATAGGCATTTCAAACAAGCTCATATTTTGTAAGAACAGAAAGACAGGTTATGACTTGTAATGAGGAAAAATGAAACACATGACCTTGATTATAGCCATTGATTTATTACGTGTTCCAAAACTGGTTGAAAATATCAACTAGCGGAATAAAAACTGCTGTCACTGCTCCATTGAACACGGTGAATAAAGATTAAAAAAAGGATTAACTTCTGTACTTCTTATTTTGGCTTGCACCCAATGAGAGAACATTTGTCTTCAACGGGATTTTGTTAGTGGGTTTGTTTACTGCCCTCTGTGATTTCGCAAGGAAAATTTGTCGGTGCGGCTAGATTCTTCTAACTTCGTGTGGGAGAAAAGTCGAAAGTGACAGGAGGACGGCAAACGACAGATTCAAGTTGAAAATTTCTCAAAACAGAAAATGAGCAGATAAAGACAGCTCAAAACAATTCTAATCTATTGGATAGAAAATTCCATGAAACTACTAACAAGTGTGTAAAATTAATGAACAGTAAACGACAAGTAAAGTGGAATTGGTCACGTGGTACAAATTCGCGTTGCCCGTTTGATGTAAACGTGATATGCTTAAACTCTCTTAAAACTTAATGGACTTCATGGAGAAATAATGTCCCGGAATATCCCGACTCCCAAAGTTTTAACTTTGAATGAGAAGACGTTATGGCCTATTTTGTTTAGTTTGACTACAGTGCTTGCAGTTTACTTATTTGATATGCGGAAGTTCAAAGTAGAATACCTTGGAAAGAAGGATCAGGGGTTTATTCTAATTAAGCCTTTCTACTTTTAAAGCGCACGTTGTTGCGAAAAAGGTTGCAGTGGTGTACGTTGGCTTAACCTGACAGACTGCAAGCAAAAGTGACATATCCCTCTAAGAACCACAAGCGGAACGCTTTAAAGAAAAAGCTAATTCAAGCTACCTCTACTTAATGAATGTTTTAGATCTCCCTCTATAAGGTCCGAAAATCAGATGCACTCTTCCTCTTCTGAAAGTACACTATCAGCTTACCCTTTACTGATTGTTGCAAAGCCGCAGAAAGAATAGTTCCTGAATGTTCTATTAAAGGAATTGCATACGGCAAGCGGACGCTTTCTAGACATAATCCACACTTGCCACGGGCCATTGCAAAAACAACCCTTAACATTTAATTGCCTTTCGCAAAGAAGTGACAGTTTTCTAAAGAATTATCATCACTGAACCGTTTAACAAGTTAAACCACGAAACAACGTGCGTATGCAAGCATTGAATGAAAAAGAGCTGAGGGCAGTTTCCAGGATCCATGTACTGGTTTTCGTCCTTTCAGCAAACATAATGCATTTGTGGGTGGGGATAAAGCCTTCTTAAACTCAGTACGTGGAATACTGCACGCAAATAAAAAGAATAGAATCAGCTTTCCTTTGCCAAGAGGGTCATATCTCATGTTTGACCGTCTAAGCTGCCCCAACTAGGGTAAGCAACTAGCATTTGGCAACAGACTTTAGATTATCGTTGCTCTTACAAATATCTATAATTACTGTTAATTATAGGAATATTTTAAAGGTGCTTTTGAAAGAGTTGCGCTCAAAATATTTTGATCAACTATTTTCAGATAGAGCCGTCTTGCACTGCACTCTGGGACCACAGCGGCACTCCTTTTACTGAGTTCCTGAAAGCGTGCCTCTATCAAAGCCGCTATTAAATTTACATATCATATGAAACCAATAAAAAGGCAAAGTGACAGTGTAATTCGAACAGTGTGCCCAGCTCCATAAGACAGCCAGTTTTCATTAATCTGAATGTAGTGATGAAATACTTGCAGAAGTCAATGTTCACGAGTCCTTTTTTTCTTCTTGTTAATATGCAAGACATTGAATTCGCTCCTTTGAAGCAAAACATATGATTAAGCACACGTCTACTTAAAGTTACAATACCGTTAAAAGCCAAAGAAAATGTTGTTTTTGAAGATGACTACCACAAAGGTTGTTGAAACGTCTGTTTAATGTCTCAACAGTGACCCTATTCAGGACAACACCCACCCAGACGATCACATTCCACCTACGTTTGAAATGACTCCTGGGCTCAAACATTATGCATCAGTCAATTCCACCTGCGCCCAGCTCCCCCCACCCCCACCCGGGCTACTGCGGGGCATTTGCCCGCCTTGTCAGTCCCGGGGGTGGGGCATTAGCAAATTTTGCGCTGCCCGGGGGCTGGGCATTTGCCAACCCCCCGGCCAAACCCGTATAACTACACAGAGGATTTTACCGGAAAAACAAGCAGGTCGGCTCATTTTTCAAGGAAGGGAAAAAATTGAAGAGGTTTGTAAAGGCATGTTCTCGATTTTATGCATGCATTTCTTCATTGCTTATCAAGCCAGAATTACATAGCGGAACTCGGGAGCTATCGACGTGAATCAATGTTTTTTTGGTTATTGAAGCAAGTTTCTCTTGATATTATTTGAAGAACATCCTTTCATATTTATAAAACTATTCATAGCAGTAAACTTTATAGCGCTTTATTAATTTTATATATGTGAATAATTTTATAACAATACTAAAATCATAAACTGGTGTCGTCACGGCGTGAAGTGTTAATTAGAATAGCGCTATTACAAAGGAAGACGTTAATTGAAGCAAAAATCGCACTACTCGACTGTGCGATCAATGAAAAATTTTGCGGTGTTGACGGAGGACGGGGCATTTGCCCTCTTTTTTCGTCCCCACCCCGGGGGATTTGACAGCTCAAGAGTCCCCACCCCCGGGAATTTGCCATCCAAGGCAAAAAAAGTGCTAATGCCCGGGGGTCCGCCCGAAAGGAAATTGACTGCTGCATTAACTGTAAATGAAACAATTTCAAATTTGGATCATATTGCACTTTCAGTGCCCAATCAGCTTGTTTTTACATTTTGAGAGGATTTAGTATGCATGGCTGATTTGTCAAACATTTGGAAACGTTTGTACCGCTATAAAACAACCCATCCAGATGTCGACAGGTCATTTACATCTTGGTTCAGCAGCCAGATGGACATCAGAAAATTTGCACTTTTTGTCTTTCTCCTAAACCTGGGGATTCTCCCTCTAACTGTAAAAGGTATGCCACTCTTCTTTTCATCGTAGGCCGTTGTAATCTGTATTTGTACGTTCTTATACTTAACAAAAGGCAAATATTACCTTTTTTCTTTTAACATAGTTAAACATTCTTACAATTTCATCTCCTCAAAATTAATTCATCTCGGTCGGAGACTTTCTATTTTGTCAATTATTCTTTAAGGAAAATGCATGTACTGGTATTTAGACCTCATATAAATCTAGAAGGTCTAATAGTTTCTCTTATATTTTTGAATTTGGTGGTGTTTTATTTACAAATGCAAGTTTGGGGAACACAACAATCCCCTCCCTCTCGTTGAAGTGACTAACTCAGTGCTGGAGCTCGCGACTAGAGTACTAAGGTCAAAGTCACTTATCGATGCATTTTTCCATCTCATTTGATGTGCCAGTTTCTATACATCTCACGATCTCGAGAAAATGATTATATTACAAAGTTTCCGATGGATTAATTTGTTTGTTGCAACTCTGTTCTTCAAAATATAGTACAGTCTGTTCAGTCAGCGGGCTACCACTTGGATTGAAGGAACACGAAACAAAATTGTAAACACAGACAGGTGATCTATTCTTGATACGATATTTCATATCCTCGATCAGAAGACCAACAGTTTGAAGATTTCAGATCTAGATTTTGCCAGTGGGGTGAGATCTTTGAAATCAAATTAAACCTGCCCTTTACACTCCACACCCACATTCTGATGCAACGCGAAAGTTTTAATCCATTTCAAACTTTCGAAGGCCACAGTGATATCTGGCGGTTCATCAACCCTCCTTTTACAGAAAACCTTAAACGACTTTTTATTCTTTGATTTTCCTATTTCTGAATCAGTCATTCCCGCACTTCTACCGATGTTCAGATTTCCTAATTCGTGCAGCTCTGTTTTAATCCAATCAGAGATAACTGTCATTGCGGGCTACCCTTTTGGTGCAAGGAACCGAGCTTACTCGACACATTGTGTGTGCGCGCGTACCAAAACGGTAATCAGTTCATTAATCTAGACATTTATGTAGATTTGCTTTCAACAAGTGGAGTAACTGAACATGAACGAAAAAAAAAAAAAAAACGAGGGTAGACAAACTCGGACTCAAAACAAGTCTAAAGAGAATTATTACAGTAGCTATACTCCGAGTTTGCCCTTTGGAGCACCACGCTCTTTATTAAATATGTCCAAATCAAGAGAGAAACATTGAAACATGATGATAAAAGCAAGCAAAAACAATATAAAAATTAGATGATATTAAAATTTGTAAAAAGATATTTACCTCCAACACGAGAATGCGCTTGTATCGAACTGATATGCCATTCGCCAAATTGTTTAATACAATTTCAGAAAACCATGTTGAGTAATTGAAATTAAAAGTATCTGTATATATAGAATTATTCTTCCTGAATATTCTTCGCATAACTACAAGGCAAATATTTTACGCCTGGCCTGGAAATGTAAAGTGAAAAAACGCTAGGCTATGTTTTTTAAGCTCACATTTCGGTTCCCTACAACACCACAGAACACTTATTGCCTCCTAGACTTATGAACCGTAGGCCAAGTTATTTTTGCAGCGCTATTTAGATGAAAATAAAGTTCATAATATTCTTGCAAAAGAACAGCTTTTGCTGATACTTCTTTCAAACTGAACTTCACTAAATGAAGAAGAATTAATTTCCTTTCTTCACATTTTAATAACACGCAAAAGTTTGACTCCTCGCCTTTCAAATAAACACAGACACACCCTTGGCCTCTCTTTGTTCATTTCTTTTGAAGCAACACTCTGTCTTGTTCCATCCCATACATACACTACATTGAGACATTTTTTTTTCTATTTTACAGGCATTTCCTATCAGGTAGGCAAACTAAACGCATCAGAGACACGTCAAGGATGGAATTGCAACAGCGGATGCAAGGCTCCACAACATTGTACACTGCCACGCTGCACTAACGTGGTATTTCCACACACATTTAGTGGATCTGGAAGCGTAAGTAAAACCTAAGGAATTAAAAATTACCGTATTTCCCCCAATAATAGCCGCGAGCGACTATTCGAGGGAGGTGATTATTTCAAATATTGCTCACTAGAAATCGTTCCCTAAATATTTTGTTTTATTATCTATTAAATAATAATAGAAAAATAAACACATCAAATATACTAAGCATGGGTTTTATAAGTTTTCCAAATATGGTTCCTTGCATTGGCAGGAGCAATCCTGTTCCTTGGTTATTTTTCAATGTTAATATCCTTTGCGTTAGAGCTTGAATCGTCACTGATCAGTTTTGCTGGATGAGATTCCACTTCAGCTTTGTTTGTTATCAAACGTGCCAATTTTTAACTTGGCGGGGAGAGGATGAAAGAAAGAGAAGATAGGCAGAGGGGTAGGGGTAGGGAGCGGCTATTTGAGGGGGCGATTAATCAAGGAACGGCTATTTTTCGAGGAAATACAGTAGTCTAATCTTAAGGGTTGGCGGCAACTTTCTTTTGCTAGCAGACCACAATAAGCTTCTTTATAAACTAATGTTTTTTAACAAATTTTGATTTTCCAATTAAAACAATGAGGCCTTTGTAACGTTATGACCTGAGAAAATTTAGTGCGCATAGGTATGTTCAAGTGCTCCCTAATCCCTAGGATGCGTGTGTTTTCAGAGAAAACAAAACAATACGAAACAAAAATGCCAGAGAATTCTGACAATAAAAATAGGCTAGAAGACCTTTAACCCTTTGAATGGGGTAGGGAATGGAGGCGGGCGGGATGCGGTCGATTTGGAGTGGAATTAGACTCTTTTCTTTTCAGATTTAGTGAGAGAAGTGCACCCACACACGAGCGTGGAAGCCGCCAGAAGCGCGCGAGAAACGAGGACGGCAGTCTCGCCCTTTCAGTCACGCGCGTGGTCAGTTGCGTTTCTCGCATGTTGTGGTCGACGGATTAAGAAAAAAAGAGACTTCTCGTAGTCTAGGGTTGAATTGTTGCCTGCAAATTTTCATTAATGCTTATCTTTACCTAACGCATTTCAGGTTCGAGTCTTTGTGTCATTAAGCCACCAAGATCAGTCATCAGATGCAGTTCATTCACCTTCCGCCGTGTGGGCAGAGTCCGTAAGTACAGCTGGATTTCAGTTATGCTCGCGTGCAACAGGCTCTACAAATGACACTGGCATTATCAACTGGGTAGCATTCCAGGACAAACCCATGTTAACGCATGGAAGCGTTACTTTTAGCGGAATATGGACAACAGAAACAAAGTGTGAGAAGGTGGCCTTTTCTCAGGTTAGACAACAATAATTGATAACAAGTATTTAATTTTGTTATAAAGGTGTAAAACGGACATAGCAAAGTACATTGCTAAAAGTCTTTTTAAACTTTCTCTCGGGCTTAGTTTCAAACTTTTCCTTCCATCGCCTTTAGATAAGCCATTTTCATGTTTTACTTTGGAGGTAGTGATTGAATAATGCTTGACCGTTTTGAATGTATTGATGTGTTAAAGGTAATTTGGAAAATAAAAGTCTATTTTTTTAATGATATTAAACTTTTAGCATTAAACTTAACACAGTTGGCCGAAAAGGAACATTGTTGTTTGTAACTTTATTTAAGTAATGGGCCAAATAAGATGCATTCACCAATATTTTCAACACTTCGTAGAAAGAGGTGAAAAAGGGGTAGAATATTGAGTTAATGGGAATAAGACAAGTAGATTTAATTAATCTTCTCCCCTTAGCCTTTGATAAATCCTTAATTTCATTTAAGTGCCGCTAAGTACTTCATGGACACGTTCCTGCTGATTTATCTTTCGAGAAGCTTGTTTATTTTTCAATCTATAGTTTTTGACATATCTAACATTTTTTTGCAGAGCTTTGCTTCCAAGCCTCGTGTATTTGCCTCTGTTAAGTACACTCGCAGTACAAAGCCAAATGACGCTATGTACTTATGGTTAGAGAACGTCAACTCTGGAGGATTTGAAGTGTGCTTAAGGGAATTCTTGCCCTTTGATGGAAAACACCAAGATGCAGTTGTGGTAAGTGAAGAAAAATGTCCGAGAAACTATAGTATTGATGAAAACAAACAAACAAACAAAAAAACTTGACTTGCCACACTTCGGCAGCCCGGAAACGCAATTAACCAAAACGTTTTTGACGCAATTAAGGTCAGTGTCGTGTCTCACGTGTCTCATGCAGTCATTTCTTGTTAAAGGAAATGTGGTTCGAAACCTGACGCAACTCGTCTTGTAAAGAAAAGGGTAGCAAATTAAACATTATTTTCTTGTCCACAGGACTGGTTTGCATTCACTGGAAATGGGAGTCAACTTAATTTCACAATAATTGGGGAAGAAATCTTTCCAAACAGTGGAAATCCATCGGCCAAAAACAACTACGGCTTCTGTCAGGTGAAAACTTTAGTTCTAACAAGAACATTTAGCAAGCCAAAGAACACTGATTTTTTAGTGGTTAAGTTCACACTAAAGAAAACTTAAAATACAGTAAACCCAAGCTTACCAGGCCATGCTAATCGACATTGTATCCAAAATGGCAATTCCCAGATGAGCGCGACATATTTATCTCGCGATTTTGATGTTCGCATATTTCACGATTCTTAAATTTCGTGACTTTGCGAGAATTTTATATTTTGAATCTCTTCAATTTGGCGTAGTAGACAGTGGGCGAATATTAGAAGTGGGGACTTTACAGAAGATGGGAAAAAATAGAGGGAGAAGTGAGCACGTTCAGATCCATTTACTAACTTACATGACTTTTTTTACCTATTTCCAGGAAGTGCCTTTCAATACGACCTTTTACAAATCGCCAATTGTGATTCTTTCCGTAAATCATGAGTATAATCTTAAGGTCAAGGGAAGTCGTCCTCCAGAAAATAATATAATATCAGCCTGGCTAGAGGTAGGTTTGCTTTTTTATTCTAACCTGAGAAAACAGCCCGCCCGACATTTCGCGCAACGCCACCACTAGTTTTCCCACAAAATGAGGAAAACCCCGAAAACCCCGTTTCACGACGCAATTACTGGCTTTCCCGTGAAAAGACGTCTGTGGAACGAGTGTAGAAATTCCATACTGATGACGTGTACTTCCCAGATCAAGATAGTGCTTCTGATTGGTCATGCTGCAAAATAAATTTTCTTTAACCAATCAAAAGCACTGCATGCCCAGATCTGCGTAGTGACACATCATCAGTACGCAATTTCTGCGCTCGTTCCTCAGACGTCTTTTTACGGAAAAGCCAGTAATTGCGTCATGAAACGGGGTTTTCCTCACTGGGTTATATTCTTGATGGTCACTTGAGGTTAATGATAATAAACAGGGATTTTGTCAGTGCTTTGGTACATTATTCTATTCAATTGTTTGCTTGAACTCTCACGACACCTTTGAGACCCAAAAGCCCATATCCCTTGTTCAATCAGGGGAGAGAAGAAATCCGTTTATTCTAGTAAATTTGTAAAAGGACTGTGAAAACTGTGAAAAAGCCATAAGAAAACAATAATTTGGATCTGATCCATGAATTTCATGACTTAAAGGTATCGTCGTAGAAATCAAGAAGAAATTATGGATTTTCTAGTAACTGATGAGTGCTATCACATTTTGCTGTAGGAAGTTGGATTAGAATCTATGAAGGTCTGCGTTAAAGACCTCAGTGGATTAGGATCGAGTCATGATCCCTTGATTGTCAGCTACGCTGTTACTGGAGGTTGTTTATAATTTTCCTATTGTAATGATCACTATTTCTCGTAAGAACTATTGTTATTTTTATTATCATTATTACTATTATTTTTATTGATACCTTTTAGAAGTTCTTATATGTAGGAATACATTTCATGACATAATTAAAGAAACACTGGAGTAAAAACACTGATATACCTTATTCATGTTACACTCTATCTTTGCACGAACTTTAAGACTGGTCATTGATGGGATAAGAGCAATTAGAGGGCACACAAGTTATAAAATTGCCAATACTAGTAATCGAGTAATCGCGGTCGGGTTTGTTTATTCCCTCAAAAAAAAAAAAAAAGACGACCATTTTTGTCACGCAAAATGCAAAATGTAAACTTTGACAAGTTCTACGTCACAATTCCTTGCTGTGAAGATTTCTACTGTCGCGTACTGTATTCAAAATCACTTCCACTCATATTTTGCCATTTTCGATTTTAAGGTCAAAACGTCTTAATTTTCTATAGTGTAGATAAAGCAAACTCGACTGCATTCTTGTATTTACTGATTTTATCTCTTGCTTGCCCCCTGAGAAACCACGTAACATTGCTTTAATTTATTCCATCAGTCCTTAAGCGCGTACAGAGATGGCGGGTATCGTTAATAAGGTCTACTAAGGATAAAAAAAAGAACATTAGTTGAGGTACCTACAAGCAAACATGTTATTACTACTGAACAGTAACTTAGTTTTAATTGAAATATGAAAAATATATTAGACATTTATGTTTTTTTCCGAATGGATAACTACTCAATATTATGTTTTTTCTTTCTTGGTACAGACCTTAATCCTTGCCTTAATGTGCATTGCCCACGATTTGGAGTCTGCAGGACCTACAGTCCGCATGACGCTCGCTGTGAGTGCGATGACCAATGCCCCTCATATAAAGATCCAGTGTGCACTGCAAACGGAACAACTTACGACAACCGATGCTGGCATAAGTTAAGCTATTGCAGAGGACTTGAAAATAATCTGGTTTATCACCCTGGAAGCTGTGAAGGTATAACGAAAAATAATTTCAACGATTTTGTTTTGGCTGTATTTGCCACATAAAATACTCTGGGAGTTAAGCTCTCGATGGCTTAGAATTATAGCTGTTAACGTTGGCTTAAAACTGATTGACTTCAAGCTATGATGTTTATGACTTTTCGTTACTTTTAAGCTCGCTTTTAGCTCCTCACGCAGGCTAAACAACAACAGACAGCTGTAACAAGCTACTTCGTCTCTCTGCTTTGGCAAACAAACATATAGCAGCCCAGACTATAGTCGATGTTTGATCTGTGTAAGATCTTTTATTCTCTTTTGTCTTGCAATTTAGTTTTTATCGCGTAAAATTAGTTTTTCACAAATTTGCTCGCGGCAAATATTGTGCAAAAAAGTGCAAAAGAGGAGGAAATCAAAGACAAAGGTAGTAAATATCGCATTTACATACCAGTTTACATAGAGTTGCATAATTGAGGGCAAATGCAGTATTTACTATCTTTGCCCTTGATTTCATCCTCTTTTGCACTTTTTTTGTACCTTATTAGCACTGAGTGAATTTGCTGAAAATCAAATATTTCCCGCAGTGGCGCGGGCTCCCAATATACTGGCATATGTTTATCTTTATACTGGCATATGTTTATCTTGGGCACTGAAACCAGCACGCAATATTAAGCAGCCACTATACATTTCCTTGTTGAAAGGTAGCCGACATTACAAGTTATAGCCTAGTTTTAGTTCCATTTCCACGCTTTTTTTATCACCACCCTTCTTCACTTAGAGTTGCACTACAACGCATGCTAGGGAAGCTACGTAAGCGATAATGCTTAAAGAGCACAGTGATGCTTCCTTATAAAGTAATTAATTTATTACAAAACAGGTTTTCCGATTGTTCGGGGCCGTGTAGATCTGCTACAGGTTCCAAAATGGTCAGATTCAAACTGTCAGACAGTCACATTTCCTCCATACCGGTTTTATCCGGATAAACAAGTTCATGTTCTAATAACCGTCAATCACATGAAGCTGAATGACTCTGTGACAGTCCACGACGCTGTTACTTCATGGACAGAAAGTATCAACACAAAAAACTTCACCGTCTGTGTCATGCAAACCGGGAGGAAAGAAGAAGGTGCGAATCCATTTGCCACCATTGATTGGGTGGCTTATCAAGGAGCACCACCCGAAGGCTTGACGGGAACGGTTGAGTTGCAGAAATGGTGGTCTGGTACCAACTGCGCAGATGTAACCTTTCCTACGGTGAGATGGGAATGTACATATTAAATTAAATAATTGATGCAAGTTCAATTGAGGTCTCCATGACGAATGTTAGACTTTCATTCATGTGACATCTTTAATCCATGTCTTGAAAAAAAAAAAACAACAACAACAACAACAACACCAAAAACAGCAAAAAGCAAAACAAATAAATAGTAAATAATTGGAAAATTGAGTCTTGTGACCCTTAGCCTAAACATGACAGATTTAATCATGACTGGTCTACGTAACAAAAGAAGAAAAACATCAAGAGCGAATCTGTGAAGGAGAGACCTCCTTAACATCCATTTCAACAAAATGAAGCGCTAATCTGATACAAAGAAGCAGCTTATAACAACAACAACAAAACAACAACAACAACAACAAAAAAAACACAAAATATTTGTTTATCTATTTGAATTAACTGAATGTGGAAAGACAAGAATTCACATCTTAAGTTAAAGAACATATTAAAACTTTCCTTGAACTAAAAGAATGAGACACAAAGTTAACAAAAAATAATCGATCATTACGAGGTAACTGGGGAGATGATTGCTAGATCCTCTAAAAAGTTGTGACCGACTTAGCGACTTAGTTAACAAGACAACATTAGGTAACAAGTAAGAATGGGAACGTACTTAGTGGTTAGTTTCAAGTAATTTTGCAGCTATATTTAAAAAAAAGCTGTTTTGATTGTTGTTATTGCTTTTTCTTCAGGGCAAGTTTGCCGAGGCGCCAATAGTCCTTGTGACGTCAGAGCACCTGAGGACTGGTAAAGAGTATGATGCTGCTCTCATTTGGATTGAAGACGTAACAAAGGACTCAGTTAAAGTCTGTCTTCGTGAAATGCAAAACTTTGACGGTAGACACGAAGATATCACTGTGGTACGTTCTTAGTCAGATTTTAAAAAACTGGAACGCGACTGTCCACAAAATTTGTGAGGAATGCTCGCCTGGTTTTGTTAAAAATAACAGCGTTAAGAGGAAAAAGCATTGCTAATTAAAAATTGTCCGGTCGATCGCGAGTGATGATCAGTCAAACGAAAGGCAATGCAGAAAGAAAAACATAAAAAGAAACGGAAATAATAATAATAATAACAACAAAAATACTAATGAATAATAATAATAATAATAATAATAATAATGAATAATAATAATAATAATAATAAGAAGAAGAAGAAGAAGAAGAAGAAGAAGAAATGAATTGAATAGCATTACGGGTGGTGAATTTTAAATAGCACACAAATTGGTCTTCCTTGTCCCCATTCCTCCCTTCACGCTCTTACGTAATTCGCCTGATGTCTCAAAAAAATGTGGATTTGCATCCTTTTCTTGACTCTTTGCGCTCTTTGTTATGTCACAACTTCATAGAGTTCAAAATACTTAGATTCAAAGGGGCCTAAAAATGATAAGTTTATTTGAATTTTTTGTTGGTGTAATACGATTCTGTCATGAGACTATGGGTGGCATCACTTTTGTTTTTACCTCTTTTCACAGAACTGGTTTGCCTTCTCTAAACTGCACAAGCCTCTTTTCACCGAACATGGTGTCATAAGTTTTCCAAATACGAACCCACCTTTGGATAAAATGAACAATGCTTATTGCCAGGTGAGAAAAGAATTCTTTGCAAAAGCAGTGAGTAGCATGCTGTTCACAGCATTTTCCCTCACAGATATATCGCTTACTTACATCACTGTTTATATTTTCAAAACACTTTTAGTCATATACACTTTACGCAATAGAGATCAAAGTGACTAGAAAAGTAAAGAAGCTGGTCCACTAAACAATACTTTAAGACAAGAGGTCAAAAACTACAGACTGATAACGTCCCTCTTAACCATCGACAAAGTGTTTGAGCAACTGCACTGTAAACAGGTGACTGTGAAACTCGACCACATCTTTTCTAGCCTAAGCAATGCGAAAGAGACACAGCTGTGAGACCACTCTACTACGTCTGAATGAGGACTGGAAGCTAGCAATAGACAGAAAAGAGCTAGTATGTATTCTATCGACTGATATGAGTAAAGCGTTTGACTCTCTCAGCCACTCGCCGACACTAACAAAGCTTGAAGCATACGGTTTTGAGTCCTCAGCGTTGGACCTCACGCGATCATTCTTTAACAACCGCCAAAATGTTCAACCCCCCGGCTCTGGAACGTATTTCAGAATGACCTGCCCTGCTCCATAACTACCGCTAAACTTTCGATATATGTAGACGAGCACCAGTTGTACACCTCACGGACTAATTTTACAGCTGAAAGGGAAGCCTTAGAGCAGGAAGATCAACTTGCCGCGTCTTGGTATCGTGATAATGTTCTACTCCCAAATCCTGACAAATTCCAGGCGATGATCCTTTATAATAGAGATATTGACATTGAAGGCTAATACACTGATATAGGCATAGATGGTAGGGTCATTACAAACACAGATTACATCAAACTACTTGGCGTCCACATTGATTGCAGTACGAACTTCAGTAATCATATGAGTGAACTGTGTAAGAAAGTCAGTAAGAAAGTAGGGATATCCTAATGCGCCTGCGCAATCTTGTTTCCTGCTCAGCCGTAAGTCTTCTATAAGTCTTCCATCCTGCCTTACCTTACCTACTGCCAGCTGGTATGGCACTTCTGCAAGGCCTCAGACAGCAGGAAAATAGAACGCCTTCAAGAACGTGCCTTAAGAGCGGTATACAGAACTAAGTCTGCCTCTTACCAGACAATACTAAAATATCAGGACTAACCAAGTTGCAAAATCGTAGATTGCAGGATATAGCAATACTTTTGTACAAAGTCAAGAACAACCTCGCCCCTACCGACTTAGCAGAACTTTTCAATTTAAATGATTGGAGGTATTCTCTGCGAAACAAGGACTTTCATTTACCTCCTAGATTCAATACTGTAACCTACGGCAAACATTCGTTTCGTTCCTTTGGACCTTTACTATGGAAGAGACTAAACAACAAAGTCAAGTAATCACCTAGTCTTCAGTCTTTCAAGAACGCTATCAGATATTTAGATATTTCTGGTATTTTATTATTTTTTCATTATTAGCTTCGCCAAAAAAAACAAACAAACAAGCAAACAAACAGAAAGAACATTGGGTCAAGATACTAATAAAAAAATAAAAGCAAGAAATATTAAAAAACACAGCGATACAAGAAAAACTACAGCTAGTATATTTACAACAAGTTATTGGACGAGACAAGGGACGAGCACTGTTACATTTTAAACAGATAGACTTGAACGAACGTGGGTCTTCGCAATCATAAGAAACAGCTAACGCGGACTTATAGTAATTAAAAATAACCTATTTAAAGGAAGCTAAGGTCGATGAGCTTAAATCTAGTTCATCCACTAAAACAATTCCAAATTCGACAAGTTCAAATGAGAAAGGATTTCTGGTACGTAGTAGCTTTACATTTCTTAATTATGTATTTATTAACATTGCTGGTTGACGATCTAGTGCGTCTACCGTATTTGCGAACTTCAGGTTAGGACAGAGGAGTTCACGTTCAAGACCGTGTGACACTTAAAAAAAAAAAAAAAAAGGTTAGATCTAAAAGTTCATGCCTGTAACAAATAGGTATTAGGTTTAGAGTTTGGAAACGAGACTTAAAACTTATATTAGAAGAATAAGTCGTGCGTCTTTGGACACGCTCAAGCTTGACAATGAGCTCGATGGACTGCGGGGCCCAAATTTGGGTGGCGTATCCCAAATGTGGCCTGACTAGGGCTGGGTATAGCGTTCCTCTTACGTCGGTTCTAAGTATGAACCTCGTGTTCCTCTTTAAGTATAAATTCGTTTATTAGCACGCGAAGATTGTTCGTTTACTTGTTTGTACCATGTCAGATCCTTACTAATCCATACGCCCAAATCTTTTTCTGCAACATATCACAAGTGCGGTGTTGTTGAGTTTGTAAGAGGATAATATCGGCTTTATTTTCCTTTTTATGTGCTGCGCCTTACACACTTAGCTTCGTTAAAAGAAGACCGGATGATTGAGACCAAGTTACAAGCTTACCAAGGTCTTTCTGGAGAGAAGAGACGCCCCTCAAATTCTTAATCTCTCTGAATATTTTTGTGTCGTCAGCAAACATCATTACTCGACTACTAGAACTGATGACTTCAGGAAGGTCGTTGAAGTATAAGAGGAAGAGCCGGCTGGTCCAGAGGTAACAGGAAGATCCTCTGAAGCGGCGCCGAGTACCCGTAACGCGTTGGTGTCCACCTGACAGTTAAGAGCAGAACCAGTTAAGCAGGTTGCCACCCATACTGGCCTGGATTAGCTTATGGACGAAGCGCCTGGGACTGACTTTGTCGAAAGCTTTTGACATATCAAGGTAGATGGTGTCAACCTGGCCGCCACTATCTAAATTAGTGAACCAATGTAGCCAAAAGCCTCAAGCAAGTTGGTGACGCAGGATCTTCCAGTACAAAAACCATGTTGTTTAGGTGAAATTACATGGTACAGGTGGTCCTTGATGCTATTCAACACACAACGCTCAAAGACCTTGGACACCATTGGGAGTAGAGAGATGGGACGGTAATTTTCCACGTGGTCTTTTGCACCCTTTTTGTGGACATGCACGACGTTAGCTAGTTTCCAGTCCCTCGGGAGAGACCCTAGTTGAAGTGATTTGTTGAAGATCCTACATAAGGAAGGAGCAATCATTGAGGCAGTCTCCTTGAGCAATTTAGCAGGGATTTCGTCCGCCCTGTGGCTTTACCGACTTCTAGTGCTTTGAATGCAGCTAGAATCGTAGATTCATTGAGAGTTAGATCGGATATAATAGTGTCCGAACGTATGCACGCTGTCTTCTCCACTGCGCTGTCGATAGTCAATACAGAGGCAAAAACAACTGTTAAACAGGTCAGCTATTCCCGCAGGTGTATCAGCACTTACTCTTGAGGGGTTCTGTGACTGGTCAGCGGAGTAGTCTGGGACGGTTACCATGGAAACACGGCCTGGGATGGGATGAGATTTAGAGTTAAGCTTCAAATTGACCATAAGCGCTTGAGATTGAATCTAAAGCCAGTGTCTATGGAGTCGCAAAAGTAATCACGGATTTAGCGAAGCAGTTTCTTAACTTGCGCCCGCAGAGACTTAAACTTATCCCTCAGGCGGGCGTTCGGATGTGACTTAAGTTTTTGGCGAACTGAGCTCTTTTTCTTGATAAGGTTTAAAATGTTACTATCTATCCAAGGAAGCGGGTTACGGCCTTTCAGTCTCTTCAATGCCACGAAGTCCTCGACAGCAGCTAGTAATAAGTCCTTCCAGCACCGCCCGTCATCATCTATATTGTTATGGCCCACAATAGAAGAGAGATTGATTGCCGAGAGAGCTTCACGCAAACCTTTAAAATCACCAATTGCGTACTCGTGGACATATTTGCGCGGGTGTGAGGACGCATTAACAAAAGAATTGTACTTAAACAGGACTACACAATGATCCGTAAACACATCGGCTTTATCAGGTGAGAACACCTCGGTCACTTTTGGTGTGTTCTGGGGCACTTGTTATCACTAGATCAAGAATGTTACTACCGCGAGTTGGTATGTGGTTAATTTGCGTCAAGAAGTGGTCATGTAAGGCCTCGATAAATGGCAGTTGGTTATCACCTGAAGCGCTATCCACGGAGTCCCAGGAGATGTTCGGCAAGTTAATATCACCACAAATTACCATATTTTGAAACTGATCGCAGACTTGATCTAGAAAGGTGTTAAATAAATATACCCAACTAGGGTCTGAATCCGGAGGCCTGTAACAGGAACAGAATAATAATGTAATCTTCGGATCAAATTTAGAAGAAAATAACTGTGACTGTTGTGACCTTTGCAGATACTAATTTTATGATTTTAAGATTTTTAAGATTTTAATATGTATTATCATGAATTACTATGTATTTTAGATTAGTGTGCCCAATTAGAATATATCATTATAATTAGTATTATCATAGATTATTATTATTATTGTTATTATTATGTAATTTTGGATAAGTGTCCCCAATTAGTCATATACGTTTGACACTTAAACAAAGTTCTTATATCTTTTTATATTGTTATATCAGACATATCAAGACATCAAAATGGCAGTTTGTTCTGTTAAAATGATTAATCGCAAATATTGCTTGTTCAATTGGGACTTCAAAAATAAACACATTGAAGGGAACTGAAGCTTTTAGTGATTAAGGAACAGGACGTGTTAAACGTTTTACGTTTCTCTTCCATGGCAGTTCGTTTCATTCACGAGAGCTTATAACTCGACTCCAACAGTTCTTGTCTCAGCCAATCACAGCACGACGGCATCTGGGAATTCAGCACCAAATCACAACGGAATTACAACTTGGATCGAGGTAAAATTTTCCGTAATTGAGGAGGATTGTGGGGATGTATCGAGGCAAACAAATTTCAAACTAAAACTCGACGAAAGATATAACTGAACAGAGACACACGCTTGCTTGAGGCGATGTATAGGTCGATAATAGGTGTGGCGCAAAAATGTACCGAGTGAAGTTGAGATTGCTTATTGGTTTCCTTTTGACGTTAATTATCGAATACGATTATGGTGTCGGTACAAAATAATATCTTTAAATTATCAGCAGGGGCCGCGCGCGGTGGGCTCGAACTTCAGATCTGATTGTGCGGTTTTAAACGTTACTTTAGAGCTCTTTCCTTGGACACGAAACTTTGCTCCAATTATTTTGCTGCTTTCTTCATCAACAGGGATCTTTAGCTCCGTCCTTCTGGGCCTCATAGCTCATTTGTGCCACTGCCGTGCCCCTTATCAGGGTAAAAAGGATATTTTGGATAAAATTTCGATCATTAATTCACCATATATTTTTTTATACCTTTGTTATTTCTAGAGGATTCTTTAATTACTTTCATCAAACCACAGAGTTAATTCACGGCGAATCTTCGCATCTCTATGTTACATAAGAAGACGTAGGAGAACGTTTTAAAAATATTCTGGTATTCTCTTCCTGTTAATTCAGTTGTTTATGACTACAATTTTAGCTGTACTAAACTACGTTGAGTGCTTATTATTTTTTTTCAGAACATGAATACCTCTGGATTCAGAGCCTGTGTCAAGGAATTATACGGGACCAGATATGACCCCTTGTCCGTCGGTTATGCCGTGCTCACAGGTCTGTAATATTACTGAGTTCATTTATGAAGTAGTTTTTAGCAAATGAAAAAAGAAACGTTATTTCTTACCGGATTCATCTGGAAATACTTTGGAAATGCCCTAAACTAATAACACAATGCAAGTTGATGGTTTTGCAAGTCATGGCGGAATCAAGAGAGTGGACCTGTTGACATGAAAAAGATTCTTGAAATTCTTTCAAGTTATAATTGTCCTACCCCTCGAAGAATTTCACCGTTTAATTTAAAGTTTTCTTAAAGGATGAATAACGAGGATGAAAGACCTTGCTAGAAATTAAAAGCACCATGCTTAAAACATCGTTTGAATTTTGTGTTTCTTTAAAATAATACAGTCTGTACATAAAAGTTCGATATATTTTATCTCTATGCAAGTGGTATATCCCTGTCGCTAGTCTTCTATCCAATAATATCTTACTACTACCTTGAAACCATTAAGCTTTGGAAAACATTTTCTCATCACACTCCTAACAGTACTGCGAGCGACATGCTGCAAAGGATTTACCAATCTGGCAGTTTATTTGAATGTATATATTTTTGACGCTTACGTTTATCTGTATTTCGCAGACATCTGTGAACCTGGCTGGAACTATTTCAACGGCTTTTGCTATTTCACAAGTAAGACTTGTCAAAATTGGACCACAGCACTGGATAAATGTCGACAAGAAAACTCGGCTCTTGTTGATGTCCAAAATAACGAAGAAAATGTGTTTTTACAGCATCTACACAGTGGAGCAAAATCCTGGCTGGGATTGAATGATATTTTCACGGAGGGCTCCTTTACTTGGGCAGATCGTGGTACTGGGAACTTTACAGCTTGGGCTAAAAACCAACCGAACAATTTTCGGGATGAAGACTGTGTGCATACTCTTGGTGTTGAATATAAATATGAATGGAATGACGTGAAATGCAGTGACTGTCATCAGTATACTTGTAAGAAAGGTAAGATGTGATGTATAAGTTTAGGAATGCACAAGATAGAGGAAAGTCTACCTAACAAAACGCATTTTGATGTGTTAATCCTGATAAATATATAGTTTTTTTTTCATCTTGAACAGATCTGAATGAATGCAGTAGGGACAAGTATTACTGCCATCAGGTCGCCAGCTGCACAAATTATCGTGGTTCATTTACTTGCACTTGTGATCAAGGCTACTTTGGAGACGGCTTTGAGTGCGAGCTCAATTACGCAAGTATGATCAGATATAAAATTGCAGCACTGCATGTTAAAGATGAAAAGCAGGTTAATTGATAGTAATCTATTCTCACTGGGGCCATCAGCAAACAATGCCAGTAATTCCAATAAGAAGTGGGAGACTCAGCCGCAGGCGGTTGGAGCGGGGAGCTCCTGGTAAAGAGTTAGTTCATCATGCGGGGAAATAGGTAGAGCGCGTAAAAAAGTTTAGGAAACACCCATACAAATTTTCTGAGCACCCTATTAATCGAGAAGCGAAACTGGCATTTTTTATACAAGAAACCCACCATACACAGACACGTATAGAAAAGATAGCAGCGGGCTATAGGCGGCGTGGTAGTATCACGCTATTTTATAGCAGAGTTCCGAGAGAGAATAGCAGGGTACTGAAAAGTACTAAAATACCCAATGGAATCTACTCAACGAAGAGACGAACATTCCACAACAGTGCCAAGGGAAAAGGCGACTATTATGCCACGATGAGACAAACTTAAAATGGTCAACCAGAGTTTAATACCATCAACTGACGTGATACAATTCACTTTGACTCTGGAGATGATTACCGTACAGGTTTTGAAACGTCAGTCACTGATCATGCTCCACCTACTTTTGAAATGACTTCTGAGTTCAAATCTTGCACAGTTTACACTTTGTTTCAAAGGAATCAAGCAACAAGCTGCTCAGTTTTATCCTATGACCATCACCACAACTAATTCATCGTTTTCACATCGGACAAGAATCGGACGAGAATTTTGTTTGCTCTTACGTTTTCAATGGCCATTCATAGCTTCCACTGCTTTAAGTTGCAACGTCTAAATTTTTAGTACAAAATTAAGAGTTCCCAAACTCCCATTGTAAACGCTATGCTATGGAAAAGAGTAGCTACGCGTGCGACTTGATATCCTATTCCTCTTTACGGGTCTACATTTTTGCTGTTTAATTCGATGTCCTAATTATTTTGCATATTGGGCCTTATTATAATTGCCCCTAGTTTTAGACTTGTTGTGAGGGAAGTCGCTCGAGAGATGATAATATTACCTACCAAGGTCAGGATACGATTCGCACTGAAAAAAAGTTTTTCACATTCCCGGGTCCGTGAGTTCACTTTCACTATCAAACACAGCCGAATTAGCTCAATTGGATAAGCGCAGGTCCGCTGAGCTGGAGGCCACTTGTTCAATTCCCCACCCAGACCAACATTTAGGGTCTTTAAATTACCGAGGAGAATGGGCTGCTTTTGTAAATACATCTGCAAACGGTTAGACTTTCTAGTCTCCTTGGATAAGGACGACAAGCCGTAGGCCCGTCTCACAACCGTTGCACATATTCTTGGTTTTCACACTAGTCACTACAATTCAAACTAAAAAACTATCGATCCTACCGAGATTTTACTTTCACGATGCATTAGAGCAGCTGAAAACTAATTTTCATACAAATTTTCGCTTGAAAAGGGTTCTTGGTTTTGTGATAGAGTACCAGCTTGAATTTCTAAGCTTTTGCGTGACGCGGCATTTACATGACGGCCAAGAGAGCTGTCATGTAGGTTGTAGGTTATGTTGGGACACTAAAGAACCCACGCAATGTTCGTGAAGAGTACGGGAAGCAGTCCCCGTTGTTGTGGCCCCGTTCGTTCATTTTCACTATTAACCGCCGCCAGATTAGATCAATTGGATAAGCACGGGTCTGCCAACGTATCAGGAGGTACGATAAGATAAGCACCAACTCAGGGTCTTTAACTTACTGAGGAGAAATTGTTGCCTTTGAAAAGACATCTGCAAAAGGTTACACTTTTTAGTCTTCTCAGATAAGGACGATAAACCGTGGGCCCCGCCTTACAACCGTTGCACATATAATTTTTTGGGCCGTAAAAGAGCCCACGCTTTGTTCCTAAAGAGTAGGGAAAGCTGTTCCCGGTGTTGTGGTCTCTCTTTCATGACGGGCGGGACTGTTTTAAGCCCGCGTTAACTAACGCCATGCGCTGTTGCGGTGACCAGGCCAAGAATTTGCGAACCTAAGTAAAATAAATCACTGATAACTCTGTCTCTAACTTTTTTAGGGGGGTTGAAACACTCTACTATTGTGGGGAATGATGTTAACTACTTACAATATTTAAGCACGTGGCTCAAACCTGTTGCTCAGAGCAAATCTTCACGATGGAAGCGCTGTTGGCGAGCGTCCGTGGACGGCTGGGCTGCCAGTACTTTTCACAGCCGATGTAACTACAAAGGACCAACTGTAACAATCATAAAAGTCGGCGGGAAGTACATATTTGGTGGGTACACCAGCCTCTCATGGGGTAAGTGCAAGGACTTTCTTAAATTCGGATCATAACAACGAAAGGAAGTATAGCTTGTATGTTTCCCATGTCAGACCAGGTGATGTTACCCAAGAGAACTGTTTCGTTCACGTGTCGGCTATCCACGTGTAAATGCATTGCACTGATTACAAAATGACAAAAGGCAAATCCCCTTGAGAACATCAAGCGGATTCGGAAAATTTTATAACATACAAGCCGAAAAGATCTATTGCCGACAGGCCGGTTACTTTTTCAACTCTTACACAATTTGACCGCGTGTTGAAGTCCTAATGCCAATCTTTCTTTGTACGACCTCTCTACCCACACGACCATCCTCCTTTATATCAAAATAGTTTTATCGACTTATCCTTTCAATATTGGTAAAATGAAGAAGACTATAAAAATTGAATTAATTTAAATTACAAAAACGAAAATCATTTTCTTCAGCTTAATGATATGACTTTTTTCATATAAGAACAGGTTAATAAGACAGTGCTTAGAGACTTTAAACTGTTAGAGGCAATTTAAGAAATATTGAATTCAGGCTCCTCATTCAGGTTTGTTTTGTTGGTAAAAATTTACTTAATAGGACCTGTTCAAAGCAAATAATCACCGCAGATGACTTGTACCTATATGATAGTATTTATTATTAAAACCCTTAAAGGAAAAAGACATGGACAAAAATGATAACGATTATGATGATCATCAACAACAAAAAGGTTACTTTTCGTTGGTTTTTGCTAATATGCATTTTCCACATTGGTCTTAGGAAGGGTTGACATTGGTCTTAGGAAGGGTTCACGCTTTTCCTTAATTAGGGAAAACATTGTTCAGTTAGGAGTGATTTTTTGTAAAAGGACAAGATATGCTGGAAATGATATCACACAGCTTGCACAATCACCCCAGAAATGAGTGTTTGAGCTGTGTAATTACCAAAGAAAGGTCTTTGGCAGGATTAATATGTCGCTCGATAATATATATTTTTTTGTGGAGCAGCCTTCAAAAGACGGAAGCGATATTTTGCTTTCTTTGGTGCATTCTAGTTTGGGGGAAAATATTTGGAAACCTAATGCAGGATTTTTTTCTAAGCTACTCGTTGTGAATCAGTTTTATTTTACTCAATTTTTCTTTGCAGGTTTCGTTTTCAAAAACGTACGTCTCTCCCCCCAATCATGAATGCATAGTATAAAACCCAGCAACGACATGGTTGTCTATTAGGTTCATCTTTTTAAGATCTCCATAAATTCGAATGTTAACGTCTAAACTTTAATCACCCTTTTCATTATTTTCCTTCAGTTTCCAGCTGCCAGTATCGATATGATTCATCAGCATTCCTATTCTCGCTGGTTAACAAACCAGGATGGGCACCTGTAAAAATTCTCCAGCGAGGATATTATTACAGCCATTACTCTTATTCCATATACGACTGCTCATCCTATGGGCCTACTTTCGGAGGTGGACATGACATTTACGTTGACAACTATGCGTCATCCAGTAGCAGTTCCCATACCAACCTTGGTCATACTTACAGCGCACCAAGCGGGTACAGCTATGGAAACAGCTTCAGCTACACATTCCTGCACGGACAGAGTAATACGAATAATTTCACGCCAGACGAAATAGAAACGTTTTACGAAACAACCTAAAATTCTTAGCATCGTGCTTTACTTTAGGCTTGCCAGGCCATAAATAAATTAAAGTAATATATTTCAATTTGTTACATTTTAGCCTTTTAAAAACTCTACCGTAAAACTTCGAAAAGACATGTAATGAATAGAATGCATATAACGTCTAGGATAAAACTTCGTGACCCTTCAAGGTCTAATTGAAGACATAAGTAATAAAAACTAGTAACTGGTGCTTAACCATATTTGAAGCAATACCATCGATACGACGGTATATTTGATGGGACTGAAATGTGATTGATCGATGGTAAATTTGCCAAAAAACGAGGCTGCTAGGCAATAGTGAACCTAAAAAACGTCGTTCACGGCTAAATATCCGATGACCAAATAGCTAAATTTTGACTAAAATTGAAAGGAAGAAATTCAAGAATACGGTGAACATATTGCTTGCTGGATGTTCCCAGCGGATTAGCCTCCCAATCAGGCGTTCTGGTATTGTTATGAAACAGAACGAATAGGGTTCGATCAATGAATAAAGTACGTGTGGACAGGAAAAGAATGTGAGAAAACTGTATATTAGAAATAATACACTGCTCTTGTATATCTATCAGACATGCGCTAGATAAGAATTAACTTTTAATTAGCTTGTTTTAAAATCTCAAAGTTTTCCAGGAACAGCATATATAGAAGACCGTGTTCAAGTTTTTCAAACAAAGAGTTTACTCTCGTTGTTCAAGACTATAGGTGTATAACAACGAAAACGCGTGTGTACTTTTAAGAAATGTTAGCGATAACAGGTTTAAATAAAGTAGTCAAATATCGGAAATCGTAAGATTAGAGGATTACATGTATAAAACCCAAGCAGGAAAGGTAAAGGGTTGTATGTGGCATTTTAATTTAGCATTCACATAATATGTAGAGTTTAAAATTATATTCATTTAGAACTTAATTGACCCTGTGTATGGGTATTCCCGACGACATCGAAATTGCGACGATCGTATTGCCATTTGCAATTTTGCAAGTTTGACAACTCAGCGTTAGTCGTGCAATGACGGCAAAGAAGTCTGCCAAATAGTGTGCTGCACGTTCAGTGTTTTTGCTGTGCTTATTAACCTGTTGCTTTTTTTTATTTTCTCGTTTACGTCTTCGTTTTTGATGCGCTGAGCTCGCTAGTAGCGCTTAATGCCACTCAAAACAATTCTTGACATGTGACGATTTCGCATGAAAAACTGTCGATTTCATCGAAGACGAGCGTCGAAATCGACGTCCACAGGTACCCATACCTTGGCTCTATATTCATTTGTTGGCTTAAATTTACGATGTGTGCATGTAGTTTGATTTTAGTTAGTTTTTACCCTGTCATGTATTAAGAAACCTTTAATTATTACTCTGCAAATTATATACCCTTTGAAAATAGTGTAATCACAGCATTGAAAACAATGATAATCTTGGCGGACTGGGGAGATTTCTACGTCGCAACTTGGACATAACATGCATGATTTGAGTT